TGCATCTCGATTTATCTAGGTTTGTTGTTATATCATCGACCACTTTTAACAATGCCGATGTTGTACTATGTTTAGAGCGAAATCCTGATTGTATATCTGGAAGGATGTTATTTGCGTTCAGAAAATTAGTTACTTGTTTAGCTATTATGCGTTCAAATACCTTTGAAAATGCCGGTAAAATACTAATTGGTCGCAAGTCATTGAATGATGTAGGAGCAGAAATCTTTGGAAGTGGAATTATATTAGCTGATTTCCATATATCTGGGAACTTGCCGTATTCAATACATTCATTAAAAATAGACTTAATTAAATCAATACAAAAAGGGATCACAATAATTATCATTTTTATATTAACATTATCCACACCATAAGCTTCCGATTTTATACTCTTTAAGCTTTCATAAATATCTGATTCATTAACCTGGTTCAAACTAAAACGTAAATTTTCATACAATTTGTTACTATTAAAATAATTAATAAGATCTTGTTTTATCTCTGCATGCCCTGCAACGTTTAAAAAATATTCATTTATACTGTCAGAATCGTTTAAGTTGTCAGGAAGACAAGGATTTGAATCAGCTCTGTTTGAGATACCCCATTCTCTAAAATGTTTCCAAATAATTCTTGCATTTTTCTTATGTATTTTTAAACAAAATTCTGCATAAGCCTTTTTTTCCCGTTTGATAGCGGATTTAATATGCATAATTTCTCAGCTTTACATAGTACAACCTCGATGCTGTTGTTTTAAGTTTTAGATACCTTTTATAAGTTTTTTGTCTCAATTTAATCATTTCTTTTATATTGTAAGTAATATAACGTTGATAGTGACGTCTCCTTTTTATAACATGAAGAGGTAGTCCAAGCATTATAGAGAAATGCTTACAGAAATTATTACCTGGACAAAAAAAATATGACCGCATAGAAAATTAAATTTTAAATTGAGTTTCTTATTCTTTAAACTCGATCCAATATGGCGAACATGGTTAAAAAAAATCGCAAAGTTGAAAAAAACGGTTTTTCTAAAATAACTAAAAAAATATAGCACGGATTGAAAAATTTTAAATGAGAAAGTTGTAGGTTTTAAAAAGATCTATCGACTGATTTTTTGAAAGTATCGATTGCTTTGTTACTTTTCGAGATATATCGAAAAAACCGTTAAAAATCTTCTCTTTTCTCTTCTTCTATAACTCGTTTACATTTACGTGCCCATATTTGCTATTTACTGCAAGCATAGCCCGCGGCAAGCCAAAAAAGTACATTTTTGAAAAATTTAAAAATATTAATTATTTTTCGAGATATATCGATTTTTTGAAAAAAAGGCGCTCTCGAAAATTGGCTAGATCTTCTCAGCGGATAGCCCTACAGTAACGATTTTCGGTTTATTTTCTTCGTAAAGAGTTATATTATCATGCTGTTAAAAAATGTTGACGATTTTATTAATTTTAAGGATCAAAAAATGACTGAAAAAGTTGCACTTTTTTTGGGTATGTTTTTTTCAAATAACTATTTCAATTTTTATTATTTTTTTGTACTTAATCTGGGGTAGCTAAACACGAATATTATAGCATTTTCGCCTTAGAAGCAAAATAGACCCGTAAATGTTTAGTTTTCTTTCTTTAAAAGTCATTTTCATAAAATAAAAATTGAAATAGTAATTTGAAAAAAACATACCCAAAAAAGTGCAACTTATTCAAAGTCATTTTTTGATCCTTAAAATTAATAAAATCGTCAACATTTTTTAACAGCATGATAATATAACTCTTTACGAAGAAAATAAACCGAAAATCGTTACTGTAGGGCTATCCGCTGAGAAGATCTAGCCAATTTTCGAGAGCGCCTTTTTTTCAAAAAATCGATATATCTCGAAAAATAATTAATATTTTTAAATTTTTCAAAAATGTACTTTTTTGGCTTGCCGCGGGCTATGCTTGCAGTAAATAGCAAATATGGGCACGTAAATGTAAACGAGTTATAGAAGAAGAGAAAAGAGAAGATTTTTAACGGTTTTTTCGATATATCTCGAAAAGTAACAAAGCAATCGATACTTTCAAAAAATCAGTCGATAGATCTTTTTAAAACCTACAACTTTCTCATTTAAAATTTTTCAATCCGTGCTATATTTTTTTAGTTATTTTAGAAAAACCGTTTTTTTCAACTTTGCGATTTTTTTTAACCATGTTCGCCATATTGGATCGAGTTTAAAGAACAAGAAACTCAATTTAAAATTTAATTTTCTATACGGTCATATTTTTTTGTCCAGGTAATAATTTATGCTAATTTAACATTAATCCGTGACAGAATGCTTGGACTAAGGTGCATGAACGTCAAAGACAAGATCGCTGAATTCAATGCCACAGCTAATACAGCTCCCCAACTGACTTGGCGGGAACGGTTAGCGTCGATTCCGACGTGCAGCGTTTATGCCCCGCCTTCCAGCGGAAAAGACGGCTTTGGTGTTCGATCAGATGAGCAACGGCAACGGGTGGTAAGTATTGCAATATTCGCAATCATAGCCGTGGGTATAATTTCGTTGATTTATTTTTGATTGTTTTGCATTTAGCGTGATTGTTTAGTTTTGAGCACAAAATATACCAAGGATTTGAGTAAAATGAGTGAACGAAAAGGACATCATACTGTTTGTGCAGTTAAAAGCTGTTTTAATAAGGGTTACAACTCCAAGAAAAAATTCTTTCGTTTTCCCAAGGAACCAAACTGGTAAGTACTTATCTGTAGTTTTTAAATACAATTATGTAGGTATGTCAAATTGCCATTGCTAATAATTTATAAACAGATTATTATATTATTTTCCATCGAGGGTAATTATTTAGTATAGTCGTGGCACCCTCCCAAATCTTACCTACCCTCCACTATTTATTAAATCCATACTTTTTTTAGTTCAAATTTGGGAATATGTGTTTCTTAAACAATATTGATTATTTATTACAGATGTTTTGAAAGTTACATAAAATATACAGTGTTATCTGAAATATCCAGGATAGAATTTTGAAAAAATGTTTTCTCGAAAACTGGGTTCAACCGCACAAAAAGAACTTCAGATTCGTGTTCAGCACCATCGAAAATGGGGTAGACAAAATTTTATGAAAGGGTGGCACTATACTAAATAATTATCCCATCAAGTTACTTTTGTAAACGTCTAAATAAACATTTAACAAAATATCACAAAATCATGTCCTAAAAAAACAAAAATTTTTTTTTGTTTCCTTAAAGAGTAAAAAAATATTTTTTTGAGTTTTGACCAGGAAGGCCTTTTAAAAATATGTAGGTATGTGAAATATTAAAAACTAAAAAATAATGTTTATACTAATAATAGACATGAGTACTTGTTTATATACTTCAAATACAAAATTTTATTCAATGACATAATATATTCATTTGACTATAGTCTCACCTTCACTGAGCAGGCTGTACCATGCGAAATGATGGCGGTGCCAGAAAATATTAATATGTTATACTATGTAGCGTCAATATTCTCTGGTGGAGCTTCCCAGGTTTTGTTAAGCCAATACGAGACGTTACTAGATATAATTTTGAATTTAAAGTATAATAATTAGGTATATCATAAAGTCCTAGTCCAAATTCATATTAGTTATTATAATTTACTTATTAAGACGCTTATTTTTTAAATAAGTATTCAAAATGGAAATAAAATAAATAAAAAGAGATATTGTTTAAAAATATTTCTATTANGAGCAGGCTGTACCATGCGAAATGATGGTGGTGCCAGAATATATTAATATGTTATACTACGTAGCGTCAATATTCTCTGGTGGAGCTTCCCAGGTTTTGTTAAGCCAATACGAGACGTTACTAGATATAATTTTGAATTTAAAGTATAATAATTAGGTATATCATAAAGTCCTAGTCCAAATTCATATTAGTTATTATAATTTACTTATTAAGACGCTTATTTTTTAAATAAGTATTCAAAATGGAAATAAAATAAATAAAAAGAGATATTGTTTAAAAATGTTTCTATTAAGTTTTTTAACTTATTCACAATAATTATTAATGTAAATAAATAATTTTTACAGGGCTAGGATATGGGCAATGAAAGCCAATCGGGAGGAATTAGTGACAAAACTGGATGACCTACATAATAATTATATGCTATGCGAGTCATTTTGAAGATAGAATGTTCACCAGTCGTCTTCACACACGATTAGTAGCCACTGCATATCCTACCCTATTTCCATCATTGGAAGGAAGTTCTAAAGCTGGTATAGATGAACATTCTTATAGTGCACCCTTGCTACTTCCTGCAAAAATAAGAGTCCTGGATAACAGAGTTTTGGTTCCAGGTGTTACACAAACTGATTCAGGTATTTACAATATTTATTATTACCTTATATTATTGTTATGCATTCAAGATGGGCCAACTCAAAAATAAATAATAGTTTGCTCTATGAGAAAGTGTTCAGTTTTTTTAACGGAATAATTTATTCCTTGATTAGAAATAAGTTTTTACATTTTTATACTTAGTTGTAGAAAAAATATTATCCATATTTAATTATTATTGTAAACATTAAGCATAACATATTTTTACAGCTGATTATCAGACCGAAGATCAGACACTTGAGACCGAGACCGAAACCGAGGTCCAAAATGAATTCAGTCCTGTGGAAAGTCCGCCTTTGATGTCTCCAACATCTACACAAACTTTAGCCAGTTTAACTCAGAACTCCCCAAGGAAAGTCAAATATAGGCAGAATATTAAGGCATTACAGGCAGAGAACAAATATTTACGAGAACGGGTTCAAGTACTCGAAAGTAAATTAAATAATCAATTGGATAATATATCTCTTGAACAATATATGTCTTTAACATTCAAATTTTGTAATTCTGTAGACACTGCTAAATGTATAAATATGCAAATAGCACAGGGGTGTAAACATCCAAAGGGTAGACGTTATACCAAAGAATTCAAAAATGAATATTTATCGATATATTTTGCGGGTCCCCGTGTTTATAAACAATATTTAATGAATAAATATTGTCTTCCCTCACCAAATACTTTACTCAATGAAATTCGGGCAGTTAAAATAGTACCAGGACTAGAAAACCCTGAATTTTATAAATTATTAAAAAAAAAGGTTGACAGTTTTCAGGAACAAAATAAATATTGCCTATTATGTTTCGATGAAATGTCTATCAAAGCAAATTTATTTTACGAACGTAATCAAGACTATATTATAGGGCTAGCAATAGGGGATGATGGAGAAAAGATTTTTAAACCCACTTTGACTGCTTGTGTTTTCATGTTAAGAGGTCTATATAGCAAGTGGAAACAGCCTCTTGCCTATTTCTTTGTTCACACGTCTTGTCCTGCTGAATTATTAGCAAATTTTTTAACCCAAGCTTTACAAAAATTAAAAACTGTTGGCCTAAATGTTTGTGCAGTTACTTGTGACATGGGTTCTAATAATATAAAACTCTCAAATAGTTTAAACGTTTCTCCAGAAAATACAGGTTTTTATTTAGAAAATCGATATATATTTTTTATTTTTGATGTGCCGCATATAATTATAACTTTTATATTGATGGCAAAAAAATATCGTGGCAATACATAAGAGAATTTTATGAAATAGATAAAAAATTTAAAGAAAAGCCAAATAAATTTGTATGTTAAAGTGTGTATAAAATTTTTATTAAAATCTTAGCTGAGCGCTTTCGACTACATAATCATCATCGGAGCTATTCCTAAAATATCAACAAGAGGTTGAAATGACATTATATAAAGCAAAAAATTTTTACTTACGTTAAATTTTAGATACCAAAAAATATTTAGGAAACGTTGAAAATCTTAATAAGTTCGACACAACAATATACAACATTAAATATAACACATTTGTTTTATAATATGTATAACTATATAAACTAGGAATTGTTGTTTTGTTTGTTTACATTAGGAAATTCCGTTCGGTCAATTTTAATGAAATTAATTAAAATTTTGGGAATAGGTTGTTTTTGTTATGAGGAACAAAAGTCTTCATAGGTCCAAAGTTCGCTAATGGACAGTTTCCGAGATATTCGATGTTAAAAGTNACGGATGGGGCCCACCTACGAAGGCTGTCCGGGCCTACACGAGATGAGGCAGGATAAAGAGGGATAATCCCCCTCGATCCCAAATCATTGAGGCCAATTTCTAGCCATAATGGCGGCGGTTGATTTGAATTAGTTCGTTCACGAACTACACATCTCTACTTGAATTCAGACCATTCAGTTCAGTTCAGATCAGACAGTGTTATATGTGTTGTGATTCAGACTATTCAGTTCAGAGTTGAAGGTTGAGGATGAGGAGTTGAAGTTGATTAGTTGAATGTTGAAGGTTGAATGTTATATTATTGTTGTGATCTTGTGAACGTGAATTGTGCGTTGTATCAGAATAAACAGCTTAAATATTACCGATATAATAATAATTAAGTTATTTACCTCTTCTGTTTTAACATTCTACATAAATATGTTGACATATTCAATTAATTTCAAACTGAAATAATGGTCAGTTTATCAAGAAGCTACAATACAAATTCTGGAGTAAGATAATTTCCTTTATCCTGTTATCATTTCTAAAAATAAACATAAATAATATGTAGTAATCATATTTCAGGGAGCTACGTTCTTTAGTGAATCTGTAAATATGGAAGACAGGGAACACCTCCAGCCAATATTAGAATCCTATGGAGTTTTCAAACCTTTAAATACTATTCCAGCATTTGGCATTCATTTATTATTTACGTTAGCACTAGATATAGTTTCTATTGTATATGTTGTACTGCATCCTGATGAGAAAAGTAAATGCAAGGAATACTTTATAGTAATTTATATACATATTGGTCTGTGGTTCTTAACATTAGTAAGTACATTTTTTGTTCTTTATCCCTATCACTATTCTGGAGTCTGTAGTCTGGAATTGTGGGGAGGGTAGCAAAGCTACAGCACTTAGGCCCCATTGGCCCCTTGTACATCCTCCCATTAGAGAGATCAATCCACCTGAGCCGCCAACCAGCCTATTACAGTGAAAAAGGTGGTGACGTTGCTCAGGGGGGTCTCTCTAATATAGGCCATTGAAGGCCAGCGCTCTCCTAACATGGACTCTCTTGTTGACGAGACGGCACTGTTTAAAAGTCATCTAGTCATTTTACAGTGTTCACAAATAGATGAAATAATGAGAAAAAATGTCAAACAGTCCGAGGGTAATAAATTAATATTGAAATTAAAATTAAAATAATGTAGCCATACTCAGTTTCCATTCTGGAAAATTTTATAGCATTTTGTTGTATCGTAGAGAAAGGCCACTTTACTAGAGAAAAAATTTGAAATCAAGCAAAAAATCAAAGTATGCCTACGACATTTAAATATACATTTATTCAATTAAGGAAATTTTTTAATTTGTACAGAAATAGTATTTTACTGAAGGTCTCGTTTGCAAACGACCCATTTGAGAGCCGGATCTCACCTAACGAAAAGAACTGAATCACAAAAAAAAACCAGTTCGTAAGCTCTCATCTTTGTATGTTGTCTGCTCGTTCTGAGTTCTTCTTAAACTAATCAGAGCCATAGAACTGTTTCTTTCGTCGACTTATAAAGGTTTAAAAAATTTTCAGTGCTTTAAGTACCTAAATCAGAAGAATTTTAACAGAATGTTTTTCAGATATTGCAGTTATTATAATTTATTAGTGCTAGATATTTCCATTAGCTAGATATTTATTGGTCAATACTAACCTTTTTTGTTTTTTCAGCGTCATTACATTTATCAGGGAATGTGTATGTATATAATTATTTTTTAGGTTGTTGATCAGATTGTCAAAATCAAACACCATCGAGTGAGATTAAACGGCTATTTAGAATTTTATCAGAAAATACGAGTACATGCCTGTCTTCCCATATATATTGTTAGTTTATGGAGTGTGATAATAATGTTTGTACAAACATTAATGCAGCATTTCTATCCAGATAATTTTGCAGAGAAATGTTTACAAGGTGGTGTAATGTCTCCCGTTGCCTATATTTGTGCATTAATTACACTTGAATTCTTTATAATAGCTGGAATTAATATAAGTTATATGTGTAAGTATATATTGTTTTTAATAAAAGGGACAGAAAATACAAATGTTTGTCTTACATTCCTGACTTAAATAGTTTCAAGGAATGAACAAGTAAAGCTACTTTGTACTTTTTCCTGTTTCAGTAAAAGTTAGTAATTTTAATAAAATACGCCCGCCGCCAGATGTACAAAAAGAAGAATGGACTGCCTGTACATCTCCAGAAAATTTTAGTCAAAATGAAATTGGATACAAACAACTAGGAGATAAAGTGTATGATTTCTTAGAAAAACAAGTAAGTTTTTTATACAAATACTTACTCTTGATTAATTAAAAGTTATGTGGAAGTGGTCCATTTCTATGCTTATGCCTTAAGTGCTTCATGATAACTTATCCAAAACATGTGGTTGCAATTGTTGCAGTCATAAATAATGTGTTTAGTATTTTTATTGTTTAATATCAACAAATTTTAACAATTTTATAAATCTTGTGTCTTTAGTTATTATAATTTATTTAATTGATAGTTTTGCATAATTAAAAATTGATCTAGATATGTACTTACTACCTTTATTTTGTAATTGTGTTATACCTATTATTTTTTATACAATTTACATCACTATTATATTTAACATTTTCCTTAATAAAGTACTATAGGTACTGTACTTTCAGCAGAGCTGCCGAGTGAACTGATACACAGTGCATTATACAGGCTGTCTACTATAAGAGGGCCACTCCTATGTATCGCGCTTAATATACGATGCTCGTAAAAACAAATTTGAGATCCATGGCCGACTTTATGAGTAATCATAAAAAAAACCGGGAAAGTACCGAAAGTTTAGGGTCTCTTTTTTATTTTAAGAGAGAAAACTTATTTTCATAAAATTTCATGGCAAAATTGATACCTTTCATCTGGTGTAAACAGATAAAAAAAATTGTCATTAAAGCGGGCTGTGGCTACAAAAACTTGCTTGGTTTTTCCTCTTTCATGCGATATACTACACGTTGCCTTTATCTTTTATATTTATTAAATTTTTTACAATTTTGGTATAAAAAATGTAAACATTTTTGTGTTATCAATGCAATTTCAATTCTATTCATTAAAAAGGACAGGGCAATAAAATCAACTGTTGTTAATAAAATAGGTAATGTTAACAGAATTTTAAATTATGTAAATAGGAAAAATGAGCAAAACAGTGAGAGACTGAAGTAAACTACAATGTAAAGAAGGATAGTACACATAGGATATTACAAAAAAATTGTTTCAAATGTTACAAAGTTAAAAAAGTGCATCACTTGAGGGAAGAAGATAAACCGACGAGATTAGGGTTCTGTAGGTGGTGACAAGAAATAAAGAGGGAAGCTCCTTTTTATGCAGAAGAATTTTCTGGTCAGATGTGTCTAATTTTCGTAACAATGGATTTTTTAATAGAAACATTCACTTCAAATCGACTAATGGTAATTAACATTGGCATGGAGAAACTGCATTTCAACAGATATTTTCAGTAAACGTTTGGGTTAGAATTTTTGATACCAAGATCATAGGACCTTACTTCTATGATGGTAAACTGATGGGTGCCAGATATTGCAGATTCTTTGCTTAAAAGAAGTATATTATATTAATTAAATTTGTAATTGGTGTGTTTAAAACAATTTCTATATTACCTACATTTTTGATACCAAAATTATAAAAAATGCAATAAATATAAAAGATAAAGGTGACATGTAGTATATCGCATGAAAGAGGAAAAAAACAAGCAATTTTTTGTAGCCACAGCCCGCTTCGATGACAATTTTTTTTTGCCCGCATAGAGGGCGCATCAAATTACATACTATACTTCAAATATTTGTTTACACTGATTGAAAGATATCAATTTTGCCATGAAATTTTATTAAAATAAGTTTTCTCTATCTCTTAAAATAAAAATTTAGACGACCCAAAACTTTCGGTACTTTTTCGTTTTTTTTATGATTACTCATAAAGTTGGCCATGGATCTCAAATTTGTTTTTACGAGCATCAAGTCCTTAAATAATGCAACTGAAAACATATAAAGATTTTTGACGTGCATCGTGTATTAACCCTTTCACTGCTCCAGACGTATATATTTGCTAAAAATTTATAGGGCTCAAACTGCTCCAGACGGATTAATTTGCATGAATAGATCAGGCTGCTCAAACCGTATATATTTGCAACCATGCACATTAGTGACTCGGTTATTGCAATTGGTAAGGCGAATTTTTGCGGGCGAACTTATACCGATTGTGACAAATATTTTTATGGAAAGAGGTACTGGTAATAATACCAAGATTGTTTATGTTTCTTTCAGTTTCTATTTAGTACATATACTGTATTTTATTCAAAATAAAATCGTAAAATTTATCGTAAATCGTAATTTACTACAACATAATGTAAAACTATAAGTGGTCTAACTGCTCCAGACGTATATATTCGCATGCGATAAACTTTCGCGCACGGCGGTAGCTACGTTCAGACGTATTGCGCAGCGAAAGGGTTAAGCGAGATACATAGGAGTGGCCCTCTTATAGTAGAGGGTAGAGATATATTGCAATTTAGATAATCTGAAGTTAATCCAAAATTGTGGTAATCCGAATTGATTTTACTTCTTGATAGTCCCAAATAACTGCAATCTCAGTAATACTAAGAGCCTGTCAACAACAACTGCAGAGTGAAGCCAGTCACCAATTTCTTTTCAAAATATAACATAACTGAAAAAAGCTAAAATTTATATTTTTTGTACATTTATATTGTTAAACTCACTATCCAGAAAGTTATTTTCATTAAGCATATTTTTTTAGTTTCTTGATAATCTGAAAAATCGATATCCGAGTGTACCGTAGTCCCAAATTATTTGGATTAACAAGGTTATATTGTATTGATAGTATAGATATATCATACAGATTGTCTCCTAAAAAATGCCGCAAGTCATAACTTCATCATTTATAGTCTGATTTTAAAAAAGTAAAAATTGTATGAAATTGCTCTAAATACACTATAGAGTGAGCCTATTGGAGCATATTTGTTATAATTATTTTTTTTTTTTGAAAAGCGAGAACTTTTATTTTCAAATGGCAATATAGGTTATTTTTTTTGTTTATTGTACAGATTTCTATTCTGAATTCAACGATGTATATTAAGTTTACTTTTGTGAAACATGTATTACAGAAAAAGGATGAAAATATTAGCCAATACCGCATTATGGCCGTTTTCACACTGGCCGACACGACACCAGCACGAGAACAACAACGATGCTGATGGAAATAAGCTCAAGCAAAATATGAGTAATAATCAGTTGAGGAACATGATTCAGGTATACTTTCGTTGTAACAAAAATTGTGGTGCAGGAGTCCACCTTTACAAAGAACTATTTCCTCACCACATAGATTTGTAAGACTTGAAGAAAATTTGAGAAGCTATGGTGTTTTTAAGAAACCAAAGGAGAAGAACGCCAATTTAATGAAAACATTGAGTTCAATGTACTTCTTAACATTGAAGAAAACCCAAGAACTTCCATTTGGGAAAATTCTAATAATATTAGAGCATCAAAGAGAACTATACAAGCAGTGTTGAAAAAGCACAAATTCAAGCCATACATTCCTCAAAAAGTACAGGCGTTAGAGGAAAGCAATAGACCACAATGGCTACAATTTGTTTCTTTAGTTGTTTGTTGTTCTTCATTTAATGTGTTTTATGTATAATTAATGTTATTTAGTGTTGAACTTTGTTTAATGGTTAATGTATTTAATTAACTTGTTTTTCTTTTAATTGATATTCATTGTATGGTTTCTTTTCTGTTAATTAGAAAATTCTCTTGAGTTTTATTTGCTTTGCTGTATAATTTTTTTTGTTTTCCATGGCACAGACGATTAGTTAAAATACAGTTGTCATGAATTAGTGACCGGGCACCGAATGCGGTATCGACTAATATTTTGTCATCTTTTCTGTAATGCTTTACAAAAGTCAAGTTCATATACATCGTTGCTTTCAGAAAATAAATCTGCACAATAATAAATAACAAAAAAACTATATTGCCATTTGAAAAAAAAGTTGACCATCGCTTTTCAAAAAAAAAAATAGTAAATAAGCTCTAATAGGCTTCCTCTATACTGTATTTAAAGCCGTTTCATTTAATTTTTTGTTTTTTAAAATCAGACTATAAATATCGGAGTTATGGCTTGCAGTGTTTTTTTGGAAGCTGTCTGTATATACAGGGTCTCTCGATTTGAATTTCTCAAACCGATTCAGCTGATGGAGAATTTTTCTGATTAAAAATTTTTGTGTTATGTACAGGGCATCATAGGTCTGATGGTAGATTTCTACAGGCAAAAATATGACTTTTCTCTTGTGCACATGTTCTAAGCACTTTTTCAAGCTACAATCCTTTAAAATTGAACCATAACCTTGTTCTTATCTTAAAGGATATACCTTTTTAACTACTAACTTGAAAAGGGAAATAAATCAGGATATAAACTAGAGACTAGAACTAGAAATTACCAAAAATAAGAGTTTTTTTAGATCTACTGTTTTTGTCAAAATAAGTCTTGAATTATTTCATTTTCCAGTCTAGTGATAAAATATAAAATTATTGCTGATTAAATTTTTTTATTTAAGTTTCGTTTATTTTAAAATTAATTTTAATAGCAAATCGTAGAACTGGCTCTTCCTTGTATGAAACATTATTCCATTCTTCACCTCGTGAACCCTCAAAAACATTAAGTCCTTTTGATGATTTCTAAACTATTTAAAATCCCTGTTGATATTTGTTCTGAATGAATTAAGGACTAAATGAGCCTAGAAATAAAACTCAATTGGATTACACCTAGGGTTACCAGATCTATTGACAGACCCGGAGAAATTGATGCCTAAAAAAGAGTCAAATTGTTTTCGAAGAAATCGATCAAAAAAAAAAGAACGTACTCAGGAAATATCTACTTCTTTATATAATTGACGCCTAAAAAAAAAGGTTCTGCAATCGGACAAATCGATGCCTAAAAAAAAAGACACAATCAGGACCTGGGGAAATAGATTTCGGGAATAGGACGCTGTATAATAGATGTCTAAAAATAAAAAACAGAAAATGTCGAAAAAATCGCGATTTTCCCGCAACAAACAAAACCTGGAGAAATGACATGTTGGTCCGGAGCCCGAAGATGTACCATCAAAACCCGAAGACTCCGGGGCAAACCCGGTGATCTGACAAGCCTAATTACACCCCAGGGATTGAGGTAGCCAAGCTACTGGTCCCCATCTACCAATCCACTGGTCAAGATATCTATTATCTCGATATCCCCTCATTAATTTTGAAATATGCTTGGGCATATGATGCTAAAACCATCCTTCCTGTTGTACTCTTAAAGCTGTATTTTCTAGTAGAATTATTTGTTTAGTAAATTCAGGATTTCTCCATTTAATATGGGAGGTAGAAAAAAAAAGGCTTTATAAAGTGTTTACCAACAGTGCCGTTTATACATTCACACCTATCTGCTGCTGATGCTCGTTCTCCATTGCATGTGAATTTTCCACTCCTAAGATATGATTATTATGGTAAATTGCTATTCCTTATTAAATAAAACCATGGGCAAAAATTAAGAATTAAACTCCTGACTCAAAATTCAAGAAGTGTTTGCACTCACTGAACATGATAAGAATACGATAAGTTGTCATGTAGAATCCTCCGCACGGTAGATTTTGACATACCTACCATTTTCTTGAAAATAGTGACTTGTAGTTTGTAATTCTACCCTTCTGATTCATTTTGTTTTTGAAGATGGTAGTGTAAAAAACAACCCTTGTAAAACCAAACTTTAAAGTATAAACTTATATTAACTCTCAAATTTTGATTGAATTTTAACTTATCGTAAACGAATAATTGGAAGATTCACCTTTATTTAAATATAAAGAGCTGTAGCCTGGAAGGGGTACCTTTCACGGCACATGTTCATAGGAAAAAAGTCACATTTTTACCTGTACTATTTCACTTTTTGCCATAAGTTCTAAGCTAAGACATTGTCTCGGTTCTAATTTCTCAAACTGAATCAGATGATAGCGAAAATAATTTGTTTTAAAAAAAATTAAGAAAATATAGTAAAAACATGCTATCTCAGTTTGACTAGAAATTTAAATTGGCATGAAATTGGAATGATTGAAACTGTGCATTTATAATATACTTATATATTTTTCAAAAAGTAAGCAATATTTAAGATCTGAGCTAACATGTTTTCCAAGCTTGATTTGAGATAGCATATTTTTCAACCGAAATTTGAGGTAGCATGTTTTCCAACCGAAATATGAGATAACATGTTTTCGTACTAAAGCGTTGATCTCTAAAAAGAAGCCTTTGCAAGAAAAAGTGTATACCTACTTCAAAATAACATTATTTTGACGAGATCTATCGATGGTTAAAGTCCTAAACATAAATACTGAATCACCCTGTCTACTTCATTAATAATATTTGGAATAAGTAATTTTTTAGATATTTATTAATTAATATGGGCAGAATAAACATATTTAGTCGACATTCCAGAAGTGCTAAAAGGGTTTTTTGCTGACAGATTAATTATTTCTTATAATACCATTAGTTATTATTTAATAGCTCCTCTTTAAGGCCGGTTCTTTGAGTTTCAGTTAAGCCTTGGTTAAGTAGTCACATGATTAGACTGTACTGATTTATTTTGTAATAGTATATTCACAGTCTAATCTCCTGATTAGTTAATCAAGTCTTAACCAAGGCTCAAAAGTACTGGCCCCTAAAGTTACATTTTAGCATACCAAGATTTTGATGTCAACGAGCATATAAAACAATAAAATGAAAATGTTTAGGTTTGATTATGTGTGAAAGCAATATTTCTAATAGTTTTTCTATCACTGATATTTAATGTTATTACTATCTTGTTCACAAATCGGCAGATTACGCTGTATTATGTTAGAACAGGGAATTTGAATACAGGTGTGTATATATGATTGTCTCTTTGTTTTAGGCCGACTTAATACGACATTTAAAAGAACATAATGCAAGATTAGGAGAAAAATTAATGATTTTAAGTGCTCAGTTGCAACAAGCTCGAAGAGACAGGGATGGAAATTAATTGGTCCTTGTAGAATATACTATTTAGATCTGACAATTCTCCAAATGTAAATATAACGATAATGAAGTGCTAATTTATAGTGAGATAGTGACAAATTGTCCATAAATAAATCCGCGGATTTATATACGATTAAAGTGATATACTTTCGTGGAACTAAAATACTTATATTTACTGGAAAACTAATATATAACATTTTCACACCCCATATTAAACTATTGAAGAATTTATGATTAGGATTGAATTTTGCATATAAATATTTTTATGCCTTCCTATAGGAATTTATATTTACATTGGTACTTTTTTTGTGTATTCTGACTGATAATTATGGAAGAGAGTGAAGGGAAACCTAAAACATGGGTTTAAAAAAAATTAGCCATACACTGTTTGCTGCTCAGCAATTCTTTAAAAGTTGTTCATTTGGCATGTTGACATTTAATTTCTGTGTGATTATTTACAAAGAATTAAAATTATGGTTTAATTTATTGTGAGGGTGTAATACAGTAGAACCCCAATTATCCGTGATGAAAACATTTATTTTTTACATAAGAAAAGGAGCAATACATAGGTAAACATGCACAAAATCATTGAAAATGCAATTTACATACATTTATTTTTAAGTACCTAGTTATACTTTTTAAACAGTCAGTCATTTTGGTCCGTATTTAACTTTTTCTGTTTTTCTTTATTTTCTGACGTATTTTACGTAAGTTTAAAATGTCGACTTACTCAAAATAGGCTAATAGAATATTTGCAACTTCTGCAGATTAGAAGCGTTAGCCACAACACATGATGTTATATGGTCTTTACTGAACAAAAACACAAAATAATGTATCACTTCCTAGATATAGCACGGATAATCCGCATCCCGGACAATCCGCACAAGGGTAATCGGGCTTCTACTGTACTCAAGTTTTAATATATATTATTTTTGCGTCAGGCTTAGTGTTAGTACCTAGATTTTATAATATATGTATACTAATGAATGCCGAATAACTGATAGTTACCACATTTTATTTAAAATAAAAAATAAATGCAGCTTTGTTATACATTTTATAATGTTTATATGTAAATGGATAAACTTAAGTAGAAAATGTATGATGTTAACCTTGGGAGGCCTGCATCTTGAATAATTTCAACGAACTTGTCGAAGTAGAAACCTCTTTACTTTTGTACAGGGTATTATCAATAAGTATGTGTAACCATTAAAAGGGCTCGATATCAAATAGGCAACCAGCAATACATTTTTATAGATATTTATGATGCGTCTTGTTAAAAAGCGCCAAATTACAACAAAAAGTAATTTTTAGTTTCAAACTAACTCCATTTTATAGAAAATCTGCTTTAGAATGGAGGAAAGTCTGTTATTTGTGCATCATATTTAGACAAATTGTGTAATAAAATCTATAAAAATGTATTGTTGCTTGCCTATTTGCTATACAACCCTCCTAACCAATTTATTTGAATGCCATTTTTCATTTTAGATATTTACAATTTAAAAACGTACAACAAAAAAAACTTATATCACCCATTAACTTTCCCAACTTTTATCTGCACCTGTGATTCAAGGGTGTTGTTTTTTAGATCCAAGTGTTTCCTCTTTATTTTTTTCACATTTGCAAAATTTTGATTTAAGACTTAATTTACGAGATATTTTCATATACATTTTTATTTTTCTTTTGCTTTGGATTAACTATGCATAAGAATGCCATATACTTAAAAAAAAATTATTTTAATTAATAAAGGAACTGACAAAAATAAAACATTGCTAAGTACTAAATTATCTTCGGCTTCTAAAAGTTACACTGTTTTTTAATCCAATCCTAAAAATTTTGTAAAAGTGCACAAAATAAAATATATGCCCGAATTAACAAACAATATCTTTGAATTAGTGTACGCAGGAAGAAGTTAGAAGTGTTAATGGGTTCTACGACTCCTTTTCCTCTATCATACTTTTTTACCAATATTACTGCACAAAATTCAATTGAATATCTTAAATTAAGAAGCTCCCAAACAAAAAACGTAAATCCCTTTGTTTTCACCTAAAGATTCTGTGGTTAATGGTGTAACCTACTTTTTTAATACTCTATTAGTAGTAACTGTGGTGTAATAATCTAGGTAGATTATTTTGCCATCAACGTAGCACCTCTAGTTATACGGAAAGTAGCTGTCAACTTCTTCATTTTAAATAGAACACCCTGTATATTATTCTATCAATAAAATAGAATAAAAATAAGTCAAAAATGTTTAAGCTTCCCTGTACCTAAATCTAACCGTTTTCAAGATAAATCGCCATTTTCTAAAAATTTTGATAGATGTAAGCATTTCAAAAAGTCCTTATATCATTTTTCGATCTGGAAACTTTCACTTGTTTTTCGGAACACAAGAAGAACATAAAATGCATTACCTTTTATTGTCAAAATTACGTGAAGAGAATGTTACCAAGTGTCCGACTTTTTACGCTACATTTTAAAAAGTTAAAACTCGCAAAACTTTTTAGATTCAAATGGAATACCCTGTATTTTTTTGCACCACATTATAGAAAATCGAATTCTCTTTTTACCGATATAGGCATCATAGGGATTTTGATTTTTTCAGATATTTGCGGTTCTCCTACATTTTCATTGAAGATAGCATATCTGATAACCTCCGTAACCAAAATTCCAGAATCGTATTATCTTTGATTTCTCTGAATCATTTAATTTACCGTGAAGAACCCTGTATAATGTAATAAAGTGTTTGTTACTTATTAACATATTCTGTAAATTTTCATTGTCAAATTAAGTTATGAGATGGGGGGCACTCCACATCTAAGTGTCTTTGTGCACTGTTTACCAATCTACAGAGATAAAGATTTTTTTTAATTCATGTTATTCTGGGGCTAATATGGTTTACATATATCATATATCGGACCAGAACTTCAGAGAAAATTGTTAATAAAGTTTGTTCCTAACCTTTAAATTTTGGACTTTTCACAATGTTGTGTTAGTACACTGCTGGCCCTTTGAAAGTGGACGATTTATTTTTCTAATGTGATGTGGTCTACTTCTTATTATGACAAGTTTGTATATGTCAGTGTCATTAGTAATTTGCTTGGTAATTCAAGATGCCGCGTTTAACGGAACCAGAGAAAGTGAGAGCTATAACTTTACTTCAGAATGATTGGTCATTGCGGATGATCTGCAGGTATGCAAGAACAGCATATTTAAACTCGAAGAAAAATGGATTGCGGAGGGTCATGTAAGTTATGTTGACGGAGGTGGACGTCGAAAAGTAAGCACCACCTAAGAATAAATCCTTTTGACATGGCAGTAGCGGCTTCGTTTGAGACGAATTTTCGTGGATCAGTGCGAACTGCAAAGAAGCGGGTGAAAGATTCGGTGTTGAAGAATTATGTGGCCGCAAATACAGTTGCTTTGACTCGCCAGTATAAAGAACAGAGGTTAGAGTTTGCAAGACAATTTGTAGGAAGCCCAGTCAACTTCTGGGAGAATATTATATTTTCGGACGAAAAAAGTTTTCAGTCTTGCTCCGGTGCTTCTGTCCGTGTCTACCCACCAGAGATTATAAGGTATTCGAAGCCTTATGTGAAACCCACACAGCGCAGCGATAGATTCTCCATTAACGTTTGGGCTTGGATAAGCTCTGCCAAAGTCCTGATGTTTGTTGTGACCATGCTGTATCCTCAGAATTTCACTTTCAAGCAGGATAATTGTGCAATTCACACCTCAAGAGTTGCGTCAGAATGGTTCATTGATAACAACATCGATGTTTTACCTTGGCCCTCAAAGTCCTGGGGATATATGGTGAAAAAAATTTACGACAAACTTCCATTCAGTTAACGTCGAAGAACTTTGGGGGGAAATTGAAAACGCATGGGATAACATCACTGAGGATTATAACAAGAACATTAATTTTATCAATGCCATGTAGATTGCAGTGTTATAGACAAAAATGGTGCTTGGACAAAATACTAACTTTACGAATCGCGTTTTTTTGACGACGAAAAGTGTTTCATTTTTAGATCTCGTCGACGGCGAATGAATGGCCGTTAGAATGTATAATATATTTCAGTATTGGAAAAATAAATAATTTGCTACCTAATTTGGATTTGTTTTGCTCACTAGAACTAGTATGATGATAGACACACGTTAAATTTGACATCATGACAGCCGATTTAAACCTCACATTTTCAAGTCAGCTTCACAAAGGCCAATTATAGACAATTTGCTTATAAGAGTCATCCACTTTCAACGGGCCGGCACTGTATATTGTCATAGTATGTCAAAATTCGCCTACATTTTGAATAGCTGCAATAATTCTGCAACAGAAGTTCATACAGCGCAACTCCCGTCATAAAATAGCAATATAAATCAGTTCCACTGACAAAAAGAATTCGCAAACTCAATTTTTCACCGAACTTTCTAAGATTTCTTGCAAGGCATCGCGATTCCCGCAGAATCGTCTCAGCGACATTCACACTGATACAAACATGCGCAATACCAAGCGCTACGTTATTCCAACCACAGAGATCAGGGAAATGATTCATCGACGTGTCTAAAATTTTTCACCGATGTTTCAAAAATTCACACCCAAGTCACACGGACAAGAAGATTGCCACCAAGAGTTCCCATTCCTTCGGACGACGACAGCGTATGCCGATCTCTCTCTCAAGTCGCGGACAAGAACTAGGAACATCAAAATTCTTCATCCCCTCTTCCCAAATTGTGGCGAAAATAACATCTAAGGGACTTCAATTTGCACCCCTGAATTGACCTTAGGGTCGGTATTATTAACCCACATCAGTTTCAGGCTTTCAACTCCTCATAGACAGCTGTATTTCCTGAGGATGCAGAACTATACATCAGGCCACCTAGCGGAATTCAACCAGCCAGTGTGCGAACACTAACCCAGGTTTTCCGCAGTTATTTAACCAAAGTGTGTACTCGACCGATACTTCAGAATTTGTATTGCAACCACTGTATTATCTCCACCGTGTCACGATATACATACTTAAATCAATAATGCTCATAAATTTTTAAACTGCATTTCGAGTTATAATCCTAAAAATTATCAATCAGTGGCCAGCGCTTCCATATACAGCTTTCATGCTGCATTCATACACAGCTCTCTCATGCCGCCAATTCATACAAAGCTTGTAAAGCTTTACGTACCGGCACTCTAAGGAGGCTGTATGCTATCAAACGCAGGTGCTTTTAGCCAGTGCAGAGTGATTTTTAGACACTAACGTAGCAGACCCGCCAGTGATATACAGGGTGATTCAGAACTTATCCAAAAAAAAAATTCTGGATGTACAGTTGGCGCCACGCAAATGTGAACGGTAATATTGTACGGTGTAATTTAAACTTCAAATCATAGTCGTAAAATTCAATAGTTGTCAAATATACATATCTGTCATTTAGAGCAAACGTAATTAAATGTAAACAGGTAACGTGAAATATGCCGGAGCATTTAACTGAAGCGCATAAAGCAAGGGCTATAGCTAAATTAGAAGATAATTGGTCTTTGAGTGAAGTGGCTGCTGATTTAAATGTCAGTAAGAGTTGTATATTTTATATTAAACAACGCTGGCGAGAACAATAATTACAAAGATCTATCAGGCAAGGTGTCGGGAAGATTTCCAGTGACGCGGAAGACAATGCCTTGGTCGAATTTATCCATAAGAATACCCTCTCTGTGTTACGGCACTAAAAAAAGTCGGATTTACTACGATAAAATCCAGATGAAATTTCCATAACTACTAAAATGCGTTCACATTTGGGTGGCGTCAACTGTACAGGGGACCCTTACAAATACAATTTTGTAAAGAAAAAATCTAAAAGGGCAGTTCGAAAATGATTTAAAAATACACTTCTGCACGGCACTGGAAGCTGGTCCACTGTAAAACCTGACCTCACACAATGCGACCGGCATGGCGGTGTGATAAAACCGGACAAAAACTTTTGCAAAGAAAGAAATAAATAGAATTATAGCACCTATTTTATATCGGCAAATTCAAATGCTTTTGCCTTTAATAAAATTAATTTGTGTTTTTAAATAATAAAATCATTTGACATACACGATGTTACAACAACTGTTCAAAATTTTATCCACTAACGTGTAAAGACATTTGGGTCCGTCTTAATCACTTTCTACGAACTAACACAAATGATGTCTTGCTTCACCATAACAGAAATGCTTCACCACAATACAAATGTTGTCTTGCTTCACCATAGATTAAAACGATATCCATCAACTCTGAGACACTATACACGCAAACCATTTTTGACACTAACTACTAAAAAACTGTTGTTGTAAACACCACAGATAACAGGTAAGCACTATTGCAACGACGGATTTCAGCATTCGGAATCGCTAAGGCCATGTGGCTCTCCACGCGTATTGCGGATGACGCTAGAGACTACAGTTGTCCAGCTATGTAGTGGTTGAAGGTACTATGACTTCAATAATTTTTTTCTCAGAAACTATAAGGATTTTACAAAAATTTTTTTTACGTTATTGACTCCATTTCTCATGCCGCGTCTATTCCTAAATTTTTTTGGATAAGTTGTGAATCTCCCTCTTCTTCAGTTGTAAACCCATTACAAAAAACATTGAAAATAATACAGTATTTTATTAAAATAAAGTGCAAGTATCCAAAGTACGTCTTAGGTCAAACAAAACAAATTAGAAAGTGGAACATCAACGTAAAGCATAGAATAAGAATTCGCAATGGAGAAGCAATCATATCTGTGTCATCACTTGGCGTCCCTCGTGGCAAACGGTAAAAGGGAAACACGCCAGACATTTAGGAAAAAGGGAGCCGCTGATCTAGACCGTCTCCAGGAGTAAGATTAAGGAAAAAAATCGTCTAAGAAAAATATATATAATACAATAAATAAAAAAATATATTTCACAAATTTACTTCAATTAACACCAGGATTGGTCTAACTGGCATTTTCCTTGAAACCATCTATACTGTAATTGATTCTCAGGTGAAAATTTATCTAAATTGATACTTTCAAACGCTTCTTTTTGGTCCTAAAAAAATATTCACAAATTAAAAATACCTTTTAATTATTAGGCACTTAGGATGAAAAATGTATACCATGTAAGAAAAACAATACATTTCATTAAGTAAAATTACCATGGATGGAGGGAATACTCTTTTACAGTCTCCTATATGCAAATGTTCCTTATAAGCTTGTACAAGATACTGCCTTGTTTCTGAAGATAAACAAGGTTTACATAACTGACACTCAAGAGAAACACAACTTGTTCTGCATAAATTACTGTTACACATTTTCGAAAATGTTGCTATATTTTTATCTGAAACTATCATTTCTTCTTCAGATTTTGACCTAAAAATACATTTAAAATTCAAAATTAAATATTAAACATTTCTATGCTAATGCTATTATTTTTTTTCTTCAAGGTCCAGAAATTCTCAGAAAGTACTTGGACTATATTTTTACAAAAAAATATCACATTTTATGACTACTTAAAATATTTATCTAAATGTTTCTTTATGAATCTATTGATATTCGTACATGCGATTGTTTTTACATAATGAAAATTAAAAACCAAAATACTATAGATGTGTTCAAAATATTAAGACTGCAAATTAATTTTGAGGGATTTACAATAGATGGTGTAACTTACACTATATCGCATCGGACACTTCTGTAACTATATTCATGTCAAAGCTCTGTCATTAAGCTTTACGCTTTATGTGTCATTTTGTTGAGGTATAAATAACATTTTTTCTCAGCTCCGAAGATGTCGAATTAGGGGAAGCTTTACTTTTCCTGTTCAAGTCAAAAAAAGTGCTGCTGAAAGTGATCGAGTGATGTTGGAAAGTTATGGTGAACATACTCCATCAATAAAAATGTGTGAGTATTGGTTTCGACATTTTAGAAACGGTAATTTCAATACAGTTGACAAAGACCATCCTGTTTAACTCAAGATGACTTGCTGAATGGTTGAATGTTGATTGCACAACAGTTTCCAAACGTTTAAATGCACTTGGTATGATTCAAAAGCAAGGAAATTGGGTGCCATACGAATTCAAGCCGAGAGCTGTTAAACGGCTATTTTTTTCGTGTGAACAATAGCTTCAACGGCAAAAAGGAAAATTTTTTTGCAACATATCGTCACTGATGATGAAAAATGGATACGCTATGATAATCCTAAGCATAGAAAATCATGAGGTTTGCCTAGTGATGCATCAACATCGACGGCAAAGCTGAATATTCCTGGTTCGAAGCTCATGCTCTGTATTTGGTGTTGTGTAATATGAGCTGCTTCAACTGAATGAAACCATCACTGGTGAACGTTACCATAAACAATTAATGCATTTGAGCTGTGCATTGAAGGAAAAAAGTCGCAATTCAAACAAAGGCATGATAAAGTAATTTTTCAATATGACAATGCTTGACCACATGTTGCTCATGAAGTACAAAAAATACTTAGAACCGTGAAATGGGATGTTTTACCCCACCCATCAAATTCACCAAATATTGCTCCATCTGATTACTACTTGTTCTAATCCATGGAATACGGCCTGGCTAAGCAGTGCTTCCAATCTTACAATAATACAAAATATTGGATTGATTGGTGGATTGCATCAAAATATGAGTTGTTCTTTTGAGGAAAAATCTGTATGCTGCCAGAAATATGAGAAAAATAATAAAGTACAATTTTTCACAATAAAGCCTTGAATTTACAAAAAAAATCCATCAAAATTAATTCATAGTCCTAGTGTAATACTGCCTTTTACTACGAAAATAAAAGTAAATGTAAAAAAGAAAATGCAAAAAGAAAATATTCGTTTTGTATTTTAAAGGCCCCGCAGACCTCGTACCATTCGTGCAAACAGGACTGTACAGAACAAGTCGCACGAATCAAGAATGTATATTGTTTTTTGCTCATACAAAATGGAACAAGAATTGGCTTTTAAAAAGAAATAGTTTTTCTCATATCAATTTATTAGAACAATTAATATTACCAGGAGACTGGTATAATTATTTGAGAATAAATGAAGCAACCTATTTGAAACTGTTATAACCATTTCTCTTGACGCATTTTATTTACTAATTCTTCATACATCTTATTTTTCATATGCCGGAAAATGTTTAAACAAAATAATAGTCAAAAAATAATTATTTTGAATTTATCGCTGTGGTCAGTGCGCCTGTGTATTATTATTATTATTAAGTGGAATGAACAGCACCACACACTGCAATTCCTATCCGTACATTCAGAAAATCTTACCAAAAAAGATTTTGCAGGACTGAAACCGTACCACTTTTTTCTCCGCACACTGTGTATCTGGCACATTCTTGCAAGTCTGTATGGTCCTGTTCGTACAAATTGAGCGAAATCTGTAGGATATTTTAAACTTACCTAGTTTTTAGTGAATTTTTGGAAATATATTCAGCCACTCCCACCAGTCCTAGAACATTATACAAAACTTGATGATATATCAGCTTATTAGGAGGAAAATGAGCACTCGACAAATTGGGACTCATATTAGCCTCAAGCAAATAAATATTTAAGTTCTCATCAATTATAAAATCCATTCGCATCATTTCAAAAAAGTTGCGTTTTGATTTAAACCTAAAAATGAGTATATGTCAGATTTGCTAAATTCCACCATTACCATGAGAAAATAGTTCAATTTTTTGATAAAATAATTTTTCAATTTTATGAAAAAATAATTTCCCAATTTTTGAAAAAATAATTTTTCAATTTATTAACAACTTCTTTTTACATTTCATATTCTGTTATTTTAATTTAAAATTGACAGTCTACAAAAGAAATAAGAAACCATTTGAAAATTTTCAGAAAATCAAGGTAGAATTTATTACTTCAAAAAATAGATACATACCTACAAAAGTACTATTGAACAAGTGTTTTTTTTTTTAATCAAGTTAACATCAGTTTCTCATTTGATATGCAAATGATATAATTTTTAAATAATACTGATACAAATTTAAATTGTCTGCATATTTTTACATATTTCGCTGGAACACTGTCTTAGAATTTCTTTTTTAGTATAGTAATAGTCGACAGTACAGGCCCCCCCTGGAAAGTTGATTACCACATACTTTATAACTCCTGAGGAGCTTCGTTTTGACGAGTCTACCACATTTTTCCTCTGCGACTTTTCTCGATTCCTCCGCTTTTCCACTCGGGAAAGTCCAAAAACATGGCAATTTCCCGGGGTCTTGAAAACTCAAGACCACATCTTTTATTTTTAGCTTAAGTAATTGGAAATTTTGTTGCAAATGCCGATTTAAATTTGTCCGACAGAAATTCCTCCGACATTGACGTGTCTACCGGTCGAAACATGCCAAAATAACAGGGTATTGAAAATCAATTACCACATAGGTAATTTTTANGATCCGGAATCTAATAAAATACGACAAGCATGAGGATACCCTTTAGAATCCAGAATCTGAACAATTGCTGTCGATAACAATACCTCACACATTTGATTACATTCTGATGAAGCCATTACCACAGAAGAACTTTGAGTTGAACTAGGGATAGGCGTTGTCAACTCCATCCCACTTGCCTCCTGAGACTGCCCATTGGATCCCTCTGCAACCAAGGGTTTCTTGTTATAGTGCAACAACGTGTGGTGTCGTGCTTTACATTTTTTACACCCTACAGAATTACATTCTTTACTAATATGATTTGGTTTCAAACAGTTTAAACAAAGTTTGAGACGTCTTGCTTGTTCAAATCTATTATAAACACTAAGGTTAAGAAAATCGGCACAATTATTTATGTAATGATTGCCTTTGCAATAACTACATGATTGATTGGTTGCTACAAAAGCCTGTGATTTAGAGGTGACTCTATGTTTAGTTTGTTTATTACCTTCCAATGACTCTAACAATTCAGCTCTATTTTTAAGGAAAACTTTAAATTCTTCTAAAGTTGGGAGCTTATCCCTAGCTTTAGTTTCTTCCCATTCGCGATAAGTAACCGGATCCAATTTACTGGTTACCAGAAAAATAATCATGACATCCCACGTTTCAGTACTTTGACCTAATGTATTTAAAGATCTTAAATGTTTAACCATAGAATCTGATAATTTCCGTAATTCTATTGCAGATTCCCGAGTTAATGTAGGTAATGAAAATAATAACTTTATATGATTATTAATTAAGTAACTTGTGTTATTATAACGCTCACACAACAAATCCCATGCCGTTTTATAGTTCGCTGCAGAAAATTCCAGTGAGTGAATTGCCTCTTTTGCATCTCCCTCCAATGCACCTCTTAAAAAATGAAATTTTTCAATTTCAGCGATAGATTTATTATTATGAATAAGAGACACATACGTATCACGAAATTCTAACCAATGCTCATATTGACCTTTAAATTTTGGAACTGGGATATTTGGCAACCTTGGTGCTGTTTGCATAGTTACAGAATTTACAGCACTAGGTTCTACCATATTGCTGCCATTATGACTAACCACTTCCTCTTTTTTACATTCAGATAGCAATCTTTTACATTGAGTTATCGCTTTGTAATATGCAGTTTCAAATAATTCGCGTTCTTTTAATTGTTCATCAAAATTCTCATGACTTACCTCAATTAAGGTCTGTACCTCATTAAACTCTAACCAAACAGTATTTAATTTGTCTAAACGCGACTCCAATTCGATTGAAGTATTTACATCAACAATATTAGCTTGACTTGTAGATAATTGTTGAACAATACCTTCCAAATAATTTTTAAAAAGAGTAAGGCGTGCTTTAATAGAACCTCTCTTTCTAACCAACATTTTTAAATCTTCCGTCATTTTGATAAGACTAAACAATAACCAGTTGAGATAATAAAGTATTAATTTAAATAGTTTACCAACTTTTCCAACTAACACAAATCAACCAGCCTTTTACCCTCAATTTGTACTCCACTGGCTTTCTCCGTGCAACTGCAACCTGGCTTCACGATTACTGCTATGTGGTATGGATTACTGTTACTACTACTCTCCTATAATCTGCCACAATATATCCAGAGGTCTGCCGACGTCGCTGCTAGTGTCCAATTTCTCCGATTCGTTTTTTCTGCGATGCCGCTCGAATATTACCACACTTAATTCGTCTCAATGTAAGGGCCAAATGTTTACCAAACCACGCTAATTACAAATCCTGCTCGATTGGACCAAATGTTGAGACCCCAATGATCTCTGTTTGATGGATTATTACTGACCCTTTGTATTAATAACCAATTATTTCTTAAATATATATTTCTAATTTATTGACGATACATGTCGAAAAAATTGTTGACAACAACTGTCATAATTAACCAACGATAATTGAATTAGGAATATCACGGTGCACTACTACATTCTGAACACCTCCTATGTAATGTTTTCCCGTGAAAGTACGGTATATCTCAAATATTTATAGGCCTTTTTCTCAAAACACAATTTTTTTAAATGGCACGTAGCATAATTCCAATAATTTTAATTCTATTGAGAAGTATGTATGGGATTATTGATAAATTGATTTTAACATTATTTATTGACAAATAATTGCCTTTTTCTGTTAAAAACTAAACTTTTTACTTCAAATGGTCACGAATCACAAACAAATTAATGTTTTCACAATCCCCTTTCTTTAATCATACTCATGTAGATTAAGAGAAAATTGTTTGTTCTTTTTCATACTTAAATTTGTGTCGGTTACACTACGTGCCGTAGAGCGCCTCAAATTCAATACGCCTCGCGAGAATGGATCTCGTGTCGCCATTTTGTACTATTTTGAACACTTAAAGATATGGTTAACATCCTGGAACATTATTATTCTCTTTTTCTTCCAATAAAATAAATCGAAAAAGCTTGTTATTTTAGCAGTGGTGTTACCCCTTAAATGTGAATAAACCAATTTACTCATCTTTAATATGCAACATGATGCATAAACAATAACTGAATCTGACATTGGTGCAAATAGCACTAAAATGAAGTCATTGGTGACAATTTTCTACAAGTTCATTAAAATATAATTCCAATACAGATTCTAACGATCAAATAAGAATACACACTTTATTATGTAAATCCTTTATACTGACTAGTCAATTAATATTTTACAAAATAAAACTGTTCAATTCTGTTTACCTTAATTTATCTTCTTGTATGTATTTTTTTAAAGTTTATTACATCTTGAAAATGAACCTATTTCCTACCTATATATGAATATTAAATATTAAGGCCCGGTACTTTGAGTCTCGGTTAAGCCTTATTGGTTATTTAATCAAATGATTAGACTATACATATTCTGATTTATTTTATACATGTATATTCACACTCTAATCGCCTGATTAGTTAATCAAGTCTTAACCAAGACTCAAAGTACCGGACCTAAATGTAGAATTTATAATTACCTTCTTAAGGTATCTACTATCAGAGATTCTCTAGCCAAAATCACTGAACCAATTGCATCTTCAATTTGCTCCCAAATAACATCTGGATTTCTCCCTTGAGCTCTCAAAAATGCATTGAGACTTTCTTTCATACTAAAACCAAGTACATTATAATAGTAATCCAGGGCAGGTACTTCCCATATAGGTAAATAATCATCACCAATTACATATTTGTTCAAATTTTCAGAGTCAAAAGGATAATACTTCACAGAGCAAAATCTGAAAGAAACATTAAAAGTGGTTTCCTTTTCAACGTTTCAAAACACCAATTCTTTTGACATTTCAATTTTTTTTCACTTTATTAGTTACTTCAAAATATAAATAGATAAATATAATGAATTAAATATAGTAAATATAGTTAATCATAATTATACAATAAAGACCAATATACCTTAAAATAGCATCTCCGTTATAAATATATACCCTCAAGGGATCTACTGAAGTTATAACTGTATAAATTCCTATATCAAACCTATGTCCACTAACTAACAATGGTTTATCAACATATTCCTGTAAGAATGTTCCTTCTTTATCCAAATCAATGTCACTGATTTTTCTAATTTGGATATTCCTATGATCATTATTCTTTTGTACGAATGAAATATTTGAATATTTACTTGAATATTCTAAAAATTTTTCCTTATCCACTGGCAATTTAAAAGCCGGAGGAATATATTTTAAGCCACTTGTGGCTAAGTCAACTTTGTTTGTTATATAGCCACATCCAGGAAAATGGTTCACTTTTTGATGTGGTTTTAAATTATTTAATTGTGAATGTAATTTTCGGAAGGGATATTCATGAGCCCATAGTAAGTCCCATTCTGTTGCATTTGGATTGTTTTCATAACCTAATCGTTCCAAAATGGTAAATACTTCCTTTAAATAACCAGTTTGGATATTTTTCCCATAAACCCAAAACTTTTTTAAGTGTGTCTCTTTATTAGATTGAGGTTCGCTTTTCAATTTAATAAAACACTGTCTGCACTCATCTGCAGCTATAATAACAATAGTAATTACGGAAACTACTGCTATTAGAACAGATAATGCATTATATTTTTCATAGGAATGAATGAAACACTGAATAACACCATTCTTTACCAGTTTATTCTGACTGGGATCTGTAACCTGAAAAATGAATTTTTTTTTTTCATTCGAAAGTAATACATTTTTATCAAAAAACACTTGTATAACTATAACGTATAATGAGTGCCTGTTATTTTATCTCAAACTTATTGTTATTTGGTTTACAACGTGTTACACAAGTATGAATTAAAAAGGAACAGAATATCAAAAATAGGTATAATTTCTCAATAGGTATTTTCTATTTATTTATTTTTAACAAATATAGGAAGTTCAACATTTTCATTACAAATACATATTATTTACACAATTATTAGTTGTATGCATATAAGTAGGTAATACAAGATATCCTTTTCAACGTGTATAAATTAAAATTATCCTTTTTCCAAGTAAATAATAAAAACATGTTCCTTACCTCTGCATTACTTTCTGTCTTTCTCTTATTTTCTTCATTCATATTTTATTATACCGACAATTATTAACAAAGGATTGTTTTGCTTTTAAAGTAAATCATTTCAAGGTAAAACATAAATGGAACAAAATGATTAATTCCCACGCTAATATATGTATATAACGGTACATACATACTACATAAGATTAATGAATACAAAAAGTTTTTAAATTGGACAGTATATACTCACTTGTTTAAAGCAGTTTCAAATTTCAGGCATTAACTCTTCAATATTATTAAAAAGTTAAAAACAGAAAAATTAGTTTTCATGTATATCAAAAGTGTTTAAGGTTAAGGTGGCCATATCCCTGGCCGAGAAATGGTGAAATTTCTGGCATTTTTAGGTACCGAAATCTTAAAAAGTAAAGCGTCTAGAACAAAAGTAAGCACAAAAATAAAATCCTTGATGTTTTGTTTATTCATTATTACCATTTAAATTTACCCAAATAAAATAATAACTAAAAAAAAGCGTTTGTAAAACATGCGTTTGCTGTTATCCTAAAAGTAAACAATTTTATATGTAGGACTAAGTAAGTAAATGTTATAAGAATATTTATATGTGGAGTTATGTCTAAAAAAGTTAGTATTTTCGTAGATTTCAGTACCTAAAACCTTGATGGTTTGATCGTTTTTTGCACCTGTTTATTCGTTTTACTGCGGCGTCTTTGAAAATATTCAGGTGGTATGACATAACATTCCTGTTATTTGATAAGCTTTAGATTATTCAGTTATTAAATATTTGAAATTATTTGTCTTTGCGGAAAACACTATTTAAAGAATATGGGGCCCTTAACATTGGTTTCATTAATAATTTTCTTTAAATTTAAAGGGATACACAGATTTGACTGTATTTATATGTTTTGTAGATTTGACACTATGGCGAATTCTTTCGTTTTTTTGCCATGGATTCCATTAATCTATTATTGTTGGTCTATTTAGAAAATTATAACCCCTGATTGGCATATTGGCAATACCCCAGATTAATTTGAATTAATGTGGGGCAATACAGAATCCACAGATCCAAGAATTCTTGATCTGTGTTCACGAATATCTAACCAAACTAAGTAGCAAAACATTTCATTTACTATATCAATTCCCCTTTTTTAATTTGTCAATGCAAAATGCCGAAAAAATTTTGCTTACCTAACTGTAAAGTACAACGAGATGATCCGGATGGTCTTGATCTGAGCTTTTATATGTAAGTACGAGTATAAGTAACTTGAAAAATGTATAATGCATTTACAACGGCATTTTGGAGACCTTTTGAAAGGGAACAAAACGAAATTTACCATCAATATAATAAAATTGTTTTGAAGACATAAATAATTAAAATATGTTGTTGGTCAAATGAACATATAATAGAAATTTTCTACACAATATATACAAATTATTATAATTTTTTACCTCGAACAGAAACCTTTTTTAGTGTCCAAGTGTCCAGTAGCAAAGAAGCACCTGTGTCAGATGACGTAGAGTTAAGTTTGATTGATCCCAATGTACAGGAGAGTAACGATAGCAGGTATACACGTATACATATACTGTGAAACAAGTGTGTTTTTTATGTAATGTATGTGTATTCTTTCAGTATCAGTGAAGTTACCAGCTCTAAGGTTACCACGATAAGATCTAGCAGTATGCACAAAAAGTCGCTATCAAATATTGATATGGATTCAATACCATTTACAATGGAGAATCTACCAATGATAAGAAGAATCCTCCTTAATAGACAAAATGAAGTTATTGCTCTAAAGCGAAAGTTGCAGGTAAGACGTACGAGGGTGTATTGCTACAAGAAGAGAGTTACTGATGTGAAATGTTTAACTTCTCATATGAAAAATCATAAGTATTTGAAGGACAAGGTTTCAAAACTTCTTGAAGTAAGTATGAATGTTAATAAATGCGAATAGGTTGAAATTAAGTATATACTATATATTCATCGAGATCTTTTACAATTTTGATCAATAGTGAATGTACAGGAAAAATCATTAACAATGTATGTATACATACTTAAATTTTTGTATCTACTGTTTATATAGAAAATGTTAGAAAAACGATTTTATTTTAATTTGAATGTAATGAGTGGAAGTGGAATTCAGTAAAAGATATGTATGGTCATCATATTGTATGAATTATTATTGTTACGGTAAACCAATGAAGTGACTAATAATCAAGTATGAGATTTTTTATGACAGTTTGGAGATGTATGATCATTGTATGAAATACAGGGTAGCCCGAAATTAATGCAACAAAATTTGGTCATAGATTCTTAAGACAAATTTAGGCACCGATATTTTTTCTTTTTGTCAAGTACCCCTCTTTTGGAGTTACAGCCCCCTGAAATCTGCCCCTAAGAAGTTTTTTTATATCTCAGAATCCTGTTGTACGAAAATCACTAAATTTGGTACACAGGAGTTTTATGACGTGGAATCTGATAATGCTACACTTTTTGGCAAGAAACTCCCTTAAGACACTTTTTCGTGGGCCTTCTTATCTTTGGAACCAAAATAATTTTGTCGAAAATTTGAATTTTTAAAAAATTTTTTAGTTAGAAAGCCATTGAATTTAGCCATTTTGTGTCTAGATATTTTTTTTGTAAAACCAATGTTCTTGAGAAAAATGGCGAATCATGATATGCATTCGACCACATTTTGACATTTCTCTCAAAAACATTGCGTTTTACGAAAAAAATATCAAGACAAAAAAGTTTCTAAATTCAATGGCTTTCTAGCTAACTAATAATTTTTAAAAAATTCAAATTAGCGACCAAATTTTTTTGGTTCCAAAGACAAGGGAGCCCACAAAAAAGTGTCTTAAGGGGTTTTTTTGCCAAAAAGCGTAGCACTATCAGATTCCATATGTCATAAACGTGATTCTCGTACAACAGGGTTCCCAGATATAAAAAAAAGATTATTCTTAGGGGCGGATTTCAGGGGGCTGTAACTCCGAAAAAGGGGGCCACTTAGCAAAAATAAAAAATATGGGTCCCCTAAATTTGTCTTAAGAATCTGTGACCAATTTTGTTGCAATAATTTCGGGACACTTTGTATGTATATTCTTATTGTAACAGTATGCTTGTATGAAAAATACTACGTATAGGCTAAATCGTCGTAAGAAACATATTTTATATTAAGTGAGCATATGGGATATGAAAAATATGTATACAAGATACTTACCTTTAACTCATTGTATGACTAGTGACTACGATGAATTGCACATTGTTTATAAAGATTTCAGTTGTATAAAATACTTAGATGGTTTCAAGATAATAAATCATATTTTATGACAGTGTATTATTGTATACACGTCAACTTTCTAAAACCAAATAAATATTTTTATCCTGCATTGAAAATTAAGAATTCTATCTTTTGATTGTGAGTGATCAATGTCTATTTATTGCAAGTGACTTAGTAATAATGAAATGTCATCAATGTTTCATTTTTTTATATGATTTTTATAATTCATAGTTTATACTATATTATTTTGTATACATTTTTTTATACAGCTTCATAAACATGGTCTATACACTTAATTTGTTATGTATAAGCGTGTAGAGTTAATTGTTTATTGGATTTATGTTTACGATAATAATCTACTTAACACCGAGTAGATAATAAATGTCGAAGACCGACAAGACAACAAACAATTTACACCTCTTGTAAATTTAACTTTGGACTAAATTGTTCACTTTTTTTTATTCACTGATCTCTAATACTACCTTACAATAATAATAAAAATGTTCGATACAGTGTGTGTAACAAACGATTTACGCATGCTCTGTGTGCGATCAATCGCATTCTGTATCGAAAAATGACGTTCAATACGTGTGCGAAAATTGATTTTGCACTCGTGTGATTGTCGCCCAAGCGAAGCGAAACCTCACACTCGCATACGATCAACTGTTTCTCACTTGTATCAACATACTAAAACTAATATAACTTTTAATGCTTGTAATAATCACCTAGTTGGTACCATACTAAAAACGAAAACAAATTATGCGAATAAAATAATCTACGATGAATAATATTGACAAACCAAATTTTGGTGTTTTAAATATTTACAACACTCCCATTTTTAATAAATTCATATATAACTACTATTGAAAATGTAATTTTGTCATAAATTAATAATATTTTTCAATCATTGTAGGAATCGGTTCCAGCACATGCTTCTGAAATTTGGAAACGAATCATTCTCTTCTCTTAAGAAAATTTGCTTCCACACTGCACTTCTATTCTCCAAAGGCGATCCAATTACGATAGCAAAATGGTATAGAAATGTTGAATGTACATCTGGTATCAACGAAGAATCATTAAATGCTGTTACAAAAAAAAAACTTAACGAAGAGAAAAAAAACAATGGAAACAAACCAGTATTATGCAATTTAGTCATGGATGAGATGAAAATAAAAAAATCTATTGATAACGTTAATGGTAAAGAACGCTACATAGAAGTTGTGAAAATAGCAAATGAAAAATTTAATTATATAAAGTGCTACGGTCTATGGTTCTGGTTGCTGCCAGTTACATGCTTACCATGTACTTCCTTAACTTTAACTAGCAGTCAGGGCAAAGCTTTTGGAAAAAACACCTCTGAAGATGCTGACAGTGAAAAATGACGAAACATTTTAAAGCATTGACCAGTTACAGAGGCTACTACCCAACATCTCATTATGTGAGGAACAGGTTCTGCCCATAGCAATGTTTGACCCAAAAAAAAAACGAAATGAATATCAGGGCAATCCTAGGGGTTTTGATAGCAGGTCCGTCTCCACAGATCCTAGCCCGAGAATGATAAGGACAGGTCACAGGTTCCTAGTTAAGACTAAGGAAGTGTAATGTAAGTCTGTAAGTGCCGGCGATCAGGTACATAAACCAACAACCTGAAAATTTGTTGTATTTTAAATATCAACATGGGCCATAAAAGCTTTAAAAACAACCAGTTATACAGGGTTCTTCAGGATAAGTGGCCTATTACACGTTTCAGACGAACCAAAGACAATATGACTCTGAAATTTTATGTACGGGGATTATCAGATATGCTCTCTTCAATGAAAATAATGCCATCAATGTAGCAGTTCCGGTTATACCGGAAGTAGCTGTCAACTTCGTTATTTTAAATGGAACACCCCCTATATATTATTACATTATCGACAAGATAAATTAAAAATAAATCAAAAATGTTAAAGCTTGCCTGTACCTAAATCTAACCGTTTTCGAGATAATCGACATTTTATAAAAATTTTGACAGGTGCAAATGTTTCGAAAATTCCTCATATCTCTCTTCGTTCTGGGAGCTTTCACTTACTTTTCAGAATACACAAAGAACATAAGATGCACTAGTTTCCGCTATCAAAATTACCTGAAGAAAATTATACTACGTGTCTCATTTTTCACGTTACATTTTGAAAACTTTAAACCGACAAAACTTTTTAAATTTAAATGGAACACCCTGTATTTTTCTGCATCATATTATAGAAAATCAAATTCTCTTTTCACCGATAGAGGCATTGTAGGGGTTACAGTTTCAATTTTCTCAGATATTTGCGGATTACTTACATTTTAATGAATATTACGTTAAAATATCATCAAATGTGCCTTGAAAGGCAAATATTTGTATTGTCATTCAGTATTCTACAAGAGTATCAAGTACTTTGTCGACAAAATGCAAAAATGCAGAATAATTCATGCATAGATGACCTTTACAAAATCTACTACGCAAATCAAATAGTGGATACAATCCTTAAGACAAGTGATGGAATTAGGAATAAATGTAAAAATAGTTACCAAGTATTATTGTTTCAGTTGATTTCTGTGTAGGTTGTAGTTTTAACATGAGTGAAATAATAGTTCAATTTTCTGTACCCACTCTGAAAATGTCAGAATAAAAAAAAAATGTGTATACATATACAAAAATGATTTGACCTTATTCTTATAAAATTAAATCTAAAATGCGTTACCTCCTTTGAAACTACTTCCACTACCAAATTTTAAAATTTATAATAATCGTGATCTCAGCAGCAACCAACATAACATTCGGGCTAGCCCGTGGCCGCTGAACTAACCAATGCCGTCCCTTGCCTTCTTATACGTACCTACGACTAGAGAGTAATTGGAAACGTAAGTCGTTCACTAATTCACAATATTTGGCCCAAGCCGGGCAACCTGCATATGCCCATCGAGTGTTGTCTATGTTAATACTTTTCCCCGGCAGGCGATGGAAATATACCCATGTATATCTATTTGGAGTAATTTTGTTCTTTAAATGAATTTTTAAACATTTAGACCAATTTTTCCCTGCAAAAGTATTCCAGAAAACAAATCTTAGTAAACGAAATAATAAACCTTTTTATAATAATTTGTAAATCGACTTAAAATATAAATATCTATAATGATATGTTCAATGTTCTTTGATAATGATAATTATAATTGTTAAGGTTTTTTTTAACTCATTACTGTTAAACTGAATTAAGAGTGATGGCAGAGAAATTTTCAATGTTTTAATAGATAAAGCGGTCGATAGCCGCACGGTTTAAGGCGTCAGTACTTAAATCGATGTGTGCTATCTGCCCGGGTTTCAAATCCCGCGGCCGGTAGACCGTAGGTTAGCTATGCTTGTACGGAGGATTGGCACCCTCTGTGCAGGTATGGGAGGGTGGGAGAATGTTGGCTTGTGTCAATGTGAGATTGACACCGGTTGGCATTTGACCACCCCCCTAATTAATGAGGTTTTCCAGGTTTCCCTCATTCCTGCACTGAATGGTTGTTAGGGCCTACCAACATAAGTTGTTCCTGGGCGTAAATGCGGCCTGTTTAATAATAATATGCCGCCTCCTCTCCAGCACAAGTCTCCGACTTCTGGGCTAATTCTAATAGTTAGAATGAGTAGAGATATTATTATTATATTATTATTCGAGTTTGTAAATAATAAATTGAAGTAAATTATTTTTAGTACTTCTAAATCCAATATCTATTTTTTTCCAAATAATAAACTGTTATATTATAAAAAAAACTTTAGTTTCTATTTAATACATTTTTTGAATTTCAATCAGATTTTTAATAAATTATCATTTGAGTATGTATACATAAAATAAACCTACAAGTGAAGCCGAAGGTCACTCGTATATTCCTCGGGTACTTACGTGTACCTAATTTGTGGTTTGTTTGTTTTATTATTCCTTGTCCCTTATGACTTGGTTATAGGTTAGGATTAGTAGTAGTGGTTTAGGTAAGTTTATATTGTTTAATAATTTGGTGCAAAACAAAATAGCAAGTAAAATTTTCAAATTGTGGGTAGCAATGGTGATATTATTAATTTTTATTAGATTAGATAAACAATTTTGTATGTTAACGTTCGTTAATAAATTGTTTATTTCACAATTAAAACCTACGCCCGACATGAAAAATTTAATAAATAAAAAACAATTGCGGAAGCAACAGATCATTTAGTAAAAATTGGTACAATAAATATGAGTGATTAACAGGTACTGAAACGAAAAACCAATTATGTTGTTGAAATTGCTTCCTGTTTAATGAAAAAAGCAAAACTCCGTGAAATTATCTAGGATATTCAGATCTGAAACATATTAATGAATCCTTAAAAAAAACCGGAGGAGCATACATATTCATCATTAAAATTTAAATTATTAGGAAAACAAAACATTCAAACTATTGATTCCGTATTTTGTGAGATTATTTTAAAACATAATAAAGTCGTGGACAAAAATAGACAT